ATCAATAACTCATTTGGTCTCTCTATCTCTATATATATATATTTGTATATTCATGTATATTTATTTATATATATATATATATATATATATATATATATATATATTTATATATATATATATATATATATATATATATATATATATATATATATATATATATATATATATATATATATATATATATATATATATATATATATATATATATATATATATATATATATATATATATATATATATGAAAATCGTGTAAAAGATCATATCTTACTTTATGAAATGTAAAAATCTTACTAAAATTGGATCAAATAAATACCATTTACTGGCTTAATCCCACTTTGCACCCTTGAAATATACCATTTTGGCAATTTGCACCCTCGAAACAAATTAATAGCACTTTACACCCTCGAAACACAATAAATCATGCATAATGCACCCCAACCCCAAATGAATTTTTAAAGCTAAAAAATGTAATTTAATATTTTTAGTGATACTTTTTTAGGATGCCAAATGTCAAATATTTTTTTTATTCATCAATCATTTTGAAACTATAAAGTGAAAAAATAAAAATATATTTCATCAACATATTTAAAAATTATATTTTTTTAATTAAAATAAAATATTTTACGAAAAAATCATTCAGCTATTCAGTTATCAAGTTATCTGAAAATCATATTTTCTTCATAATATTTTTACCTAATATTTTCATCCAGTTACAATAAAAAATCAATCAATCGAATAATTTAGTGACAAAAACTTATTTTATTTAAGAAACTATTTTTCTTAAATACTCCGGTGTAATTTTTATTTTTTCGCACTTTGTCCGCTTGAAATTAGATTGGAGGTTCAAGAAAATAATTTTTTTTTATTTATTTATTTTGCACCCCAAAAAAAACACCAATAAAAAATGAAATTGTCTTTATTATTCAATTCAGGGTGCACTATGAATGATTTATTCTGTTTTAAGGGTGCAAAGTGCTATTATTATTTTTTGAGGGTGCAAAGTGCCAAAGAGGTATATTTCAAGAGTGCAAAGTGGGATTAAGCCCCATTTACTCATTGCAAACAAATCTTTAGGTTAGAAAATAATATTATATATATATATATATATATATATATATATATATATATATATATATATATATATATATATATATATATATATATAGCGATACA